TTGCAGCCCCGCCTCCGTTTTCAGATGTCTCCGTCTTTCCCCATCCACACTGAGACGGAGCAGCAGCGTTTTAGAATGAAAACAGCCTCTCCAGCGTTTTCAAAAAGCTCCGTTTTCGGCACTCGAGAACTCCGGCGTAGTGTGGACGGATGGCATAACCGTAGCAAAACTTATGCGTTTTCAAACTAAAACGCACTAGTGTAAACGGGGCCTCATACAGTTGCCATTGCAAGGCTCAGACACTTTGTAGAGAGGAATTTAACACAACTGCCTCTAGGAGTCGCCAATGGAAATAAAACAGACACGCACAAAAAATGTGCGTATGCCTGCCAGAAAGCTGCCGTGAAGCTGCGCACATTCCCACGTTCAGTTCATTGTTAGTAAATCCAAACGTGAGCGATTCTGAGCGTGAAACCTGGCGTACGCAAAGTTTTTGTGCGTACGCAGCGTTGATACATGAGGCCCCTGGTGTTTATTCAACGGGAAGTGGTAGTCTTGTTTATGGTACTGTGGGTAATGCAGTGAATGTTGGCATGTCTGGGAATGATGCAAGTCCATCAACTAATGTCCAACAATCTGAAGTCATTAGTTCTTCTGTCTTGATGCCATTTTAGCAAAGCAGTTATTCTGTTCCTAATCCAGTGCTGCTGACTAGTTCCCAGTCTGCAGTGCATGCTGGTAGAAGACCCAATAAGCCTCTAAGTGGTAAACGCCACCAATCTGGTTCCAATATTGTTTTAGGTTCCAGACCAGTTCAAAATCCGATATTTAACACTTTGAAGCCTCTTAAACCAATATTAGAGTATGGCAGTGTGCCAAGTAGCCTAGCAGTGGCCAGCTATGAACTTGTCAGCCAGTCCAGTGGCCAGACTGCAAATCAACCAAACGGTGTGCAGCCTATAGATGTTGTTGACATCTCTGTGGTCCAGCCCAGTAGCCAGCAGCTTATTCTAACAAGCCAATCTAGTTCCCAGTTAAATGACCAGCAACCAGTTCATGGTAGTTCTGTCTTTACGGCTCAGCCCAGTGGTCCAACTCCCCTCAAGCACCATAAAGGTAAACCTCAGTTTGGGTCCGAACTTCCATCCAGTACAAGTACTCTCCATACACCGAGTTCTGGTTTTGTAGTGCAGTCAACTAGCCAAATGCCAGTACAAACCATCTACCAGTCTGTGCCCCAACCTGCTCTACAACTGCCAGTGCAAGCCAGCTACCAATCAGAGGCCCAGTCTGCTTCTCAAAAGCCAGGACAAACCGGTTCCCTGTCTGTGCCCCAAATTTTTGTCCAACCAGCCCACATCAGCTACCAGTCTGTAGCCCAACTGATTGTGCAACAAGCCAGCTATGAATCTGTGTCTCTTTCCAATGGAGCAAAACTTGTACAGGCTGGCTCCCAATCAGAGGCCCAGCCAGGACCTATCAGCTACCAGTTTGTGGCCGAGCCCATTGTCCAACAGCCAGCACATGTTAGCCTTTCTGTAGTTCAACCGATCAACCAGCAAGCAGGACAATCTACCTATGAGTATGTTGTCAAGCAGAATGGGCATCCCCTTCTCAAGCCAGTGCATTCCCATGGAGTTCATCAGATTGGCTCCAAGGTTTATTCATGCCAAGAGTTACCTCAGCATGGTTACCAGAGGAGATTTCAGTCTCCACCTAGAACAAGTCTTTCAGCCCTAACTCGGCACTCCAAGCCTGTTGCACAGTCCAGCAACCAGGCACCTGCAAAGCCTAACCATCCCAGACCACTCGCATCTACTCTACAATCCATTTTAATCCCAGCTCAAGCGTTATCTAGCCAGCAGTTTCTTTCTTGGCCCAGCTACACTCCCCAAGCTTTGCTAGTGGAACCCATGTACCAACCTCTGGCACAATCAAATTCAGAGACCATCTCCCTCGCTGAACACCTGATATCTCCTGTTCCAGGGCAGTTTGTTTCCTAGCCTCAAATGCTTCCTAGTAGTCAGTCTCTCACTCAGTCAAGCTCTTCTTCCTCAGGCATGCCAGTGCAGTCCAGCTACCAGCCTCTGGTATCATCAAGTTATGAGACCGTCTTACAGCCTGGATTTCAGATCTCCTCAGTGCTTGTGCCATCAAGTTACCAATCTACAAGTTCCAAAGCATCGAGTGGTCCGTTATCTTCAAGCCATGAGTTTGTGTTTCAGTCGGTTCAACCTGAACTTGCAGTTCCACTACAGGTGGATTTATCAGTCTGTCACAGGCCAAAATGCTCCTGGAACTGCTCAAAACAATAGGCATCCATCCCAGTTGTTCAGGCTGTTGCAACAAGTGAAGTCCTAGATACTTGTGTTCTGGTTCCAGAGTCATGTTTGCTGTCTAATGTCAATAAAATATTATTTAAATATCTTTGTGGATCTGTTTTATAACTTACCTTTTTATTGGCAGTTGCATCTGCAATATCAAAATACAAAAGTTGATCTACGTTGCTGTCAACTTCATTTTTAAATTGCTCCCAATAGTTTCTTTGATGGGTTTCATGCAGTGACAAGTCTGCTGATATAGTAAGGTTTTATTTGCTAAATACAACTGACACTGCAACCAGACATGTAACGTGTACTTCAAATAAAAAATGATCTAAAATGAAGTTTTTGCAATTGAAGTTTTTTCCCACTATGGGAACGTTTGCAATATTTAAATTATCCACAGGTTTAATTATTTTAATGTAAAAATTATTTAATTATTGATGTGGTACACAGCTTTTTGTCTATTTTTAAAATTATAACTACCTTCCAGTTTATAAGCCCAATAAAAAATTTGTTGTGGACTCCGAACAATATTTTACTGATCACACTTTCCCCACAGAAATTAATTTATTGCATGCAATCTTCAAAAACAAGGATAATATGGTCTTAAGGCAAATCTGTATATGTTAACTTTTAAGTTCATGATCTTTTTAAGTTTGAAAATGCGTGAAATGTATCTGCTTTATGGTGAATATGCTAAAATAACCAAATAAAACACTTTTTTTTTTTTTTTTAAATCTGTCTGAAATAACTTCTATAACTAAAATGTGTGATTTGATTGCTGCTACAAATAATGCACCGTAGTGCCAGTTTTCTAACGCATCTGTTTAAATTGTTCTGACACGGCTAAATACAACTCTCACCACAGGGATGGTTCTGCAAGATATTTCCTCACAATACATTTGAATTAATTGGTTAATCAGAAAAATAATATCAGTAAACTAGTTAATAAGCAACTTTATATAAAAGTGTACCACTTCCATGCTTGTGCCATTAAGGTACCAGTCTATCTACTAGTTCCCAACCATGGAGCAGTCCAATAGTCTGCGCTTTCAATCTGAACTTGCAATTCCACTACAGGTGGATTATCAGTCTGTCACAGGTCAAAATGCTCCTGGACCTACTCAAAACAATAGGCATCCATCCCAGTTCAGGCTGTTGCAACATGTGAAGTCCTAGATACTTGTTTTCTGGTTCCTGAGTCCTGAGTGTTTGCTGTCTGATGTAAATAAAATGATTTAAATATCTTTGTGTGGACCTCAGTTTTATAACTTGCCTTTTATTGACCGTTGCATCTGCAATAATAAAATACAAAATTAAAAAAAAAAGTTAATCTTCTGCATTTTTTTTTAAATGGCTCATACATTTCTTTAAAAGATTTCATGCAGTGACACGTCTGCTGAATATATTATAAAGTTTTGTGAAATACAAGTAAAACTACAACCAGACATGCAATGTGAACTTAAAATTATCTTTTTAAACGCTTTCTTTTCCCCACTATGGTAATGTCTGCAGTGTTTAAACTATTCACTATCTTTTAATGTGTAAAAAAATAAATTAAAATTGAGCATTGTCAGTATATCAAATTGTCATTTTGTTTTCTTTCTGATTTAAAGTGCTATTTTGGTATATTGAAACATTTGGGTAGGTAAATTACTTTTATATGAAAATTAAAAGTCCACTTGAAAGTTTTCATTTTATCTGGATTTACAATTTATAGATGCATGTGTGCTAACAATGGTATGATAGAGGAGTGTTTGGTACGCAGCTTTGTCTTTCTCTGATTTTAACATCATAACCACCTACCAGTTTATGAACCCTATAAAGTTTGTTGTGGACTTTTTCAGAACAATATATTATTGATCCCACTTTTCTGACAGAAATGTATTTATTTCAAGCAATCTTTAAAAACAAGAATAATGTGGTCCTATGAAGTCTTAAGGCAAGTCTGTATGTTAACTTAAGTTCATGAGCTTTTCAGGTTCAAAATAATGTAAGGCTTCAAAAATAATCACACAGATGAATAACCTGAAATGTTTCATGCTGAAATTGCTAAAATAACAAAATAAAGCACTTTTTTTTTTTTTATCTGTCTAAAAGTAATAACTGAAACTAAAATGTATGGTTTGATTACTACTAATAATAATGTACTGTAGTGACAGTTTTCCAACACATTTGGTTTTTTGTCTCAAAAGTTTAAACACATCTGTGAAAATAGTCCTGAAACACAGCTGAATACAACTTACACCACGGGAATGGTTCTGCAAGATAATTCCTCGCAAAACATTTGAATTAACTGGCCTACCGGACATGCAGTTAATCAGCAAAATAATCTCAGGAAATTAGTTAATAAGCAAATTTTATTTATTAATAAAAAAAGTTTACTTTTACCTTTAAGAATATTTTGATTAACACAACACAAATCATTTGACTTCAAACCATCACTAAAAGCACATCTGTTTTAAAAAATGTTTAAAGTTTTCTACTTAGGATTTTTAATTTTTTTTTAATCAACTGACATACCGTGAACATAATGGCTTACACCTGACAATAGACAACTCAAACTAATAATGATCCATTAGTGACTCCCGAGAGAGGTGATTAGCAATTGCTAGTTGCACACACTATAGAAAGGCCAGATAAGAAGCAGCACCACATAGTGTGATGAAAGTTTTTCTTTTATTTTGTTGTTTTATTTGTTGAGATTATTGCATGGTTGGTTTGACTTTGCTTACTATGGGTGCAACAACAATGTGGATTTTAAGGTATGTTTTTTTTAAGACATGTGTTTTGTGCGTAGTTTAATATTTAATAAGTGGCTTTTGTTCTTTTGCAGTTATTGTTTAGCAGTACTTTTAGCCCTTGGAGCATGTGATGTTGCAGCTGGTATTATTATTATTATTATTATTATTATTATTATTATTATTGTTGTTGTTGTATTCTTCATTGTATAACTGAACTTCTGTTCGTGGCATTGTTTTATGTAGTGTATGCATATAGCCCTGGTAGCAATGGTGGACCTCTTGGACCTAATAATCCCAGCAAGAGTACATTTTTACAGTGCTTCATTTAAAGGGGGCTATGACACCGGAAGCTACAGTTCCCAGGCTAGTTCTTCAGGCATTCTCATGACTGTTGATAAAACAGGCTCTGATTCTTCCACTAGAAGCCAACTTCAAGGATCTAGTGTTGATTCAACAGGAAGTGATAGTCTTGTTTATGGTACTGTGGGAAATGCAGTGAGTATTGGCACGTCTGGAAATGATGCGAGTTTGTCTTCTACTGTCCAAGGATCTGACGTAATCCGTTCTTCTGTCTTGATGCCATTGCAACAAAGCAGTTATTCTGTTCCTGAGCCAGTGCTGCTGACTGCCCAAGTGCAGACTGTCCCCTATTCCAACAGTCAGCAACCAGCAAGTTCTGAAACCATGGCCCAGTCTAGACCTCTGCTGTTGTTCCAGTCTAGTGACCAACGACTACCACAGCCTAGTTCCCAGACTGCAGTGCATGCTGGTAGAAAACCCCATAAACCTCTGAAAGGTAAACACCAGCAATCTGGTTCCAATATTGTTATCGGTTCCAGGCCAGTTCAAAATCCAGTATTCAACACTTTGAAGCCTCTTAAACCAAAAGAAGAGCCTGCATCACATCCTAGCTTACAAATAGTAGAATATGGCAGTGTGCCAAGCAGCCTAGCGGTAGCTGGCTATGAACTTGTCAGCCAGTCCAGTGGCCAGACTCTAAATCAACCAAGTGGTGTGCAGCCTCCAGATGTTGTTGCCCTCTCTGTGGTCCAGCCCAGCAGCCAACTTATTCAACAGGCAGTTGACACCTCTGTGGGCCAGGCCTCCAGCCAGCAGCTAGTTCTGACAAGCCAATCTATTTTCCAGTCAAATAACCAGCAACCAGTACATGGTAGTTCTGTCTTTACAGCTAAGCCAAGTGGTCTGACTCCTCTCAAGCCCCATAAAGGAAGACATCAGCTTGGGTTCATGCTTCCATCCAGTACAAGTACTCTCCATACACCGAGTTCTAGTTTTGTAGTGCAGACCCCTAGCCAAATACCAGTACAAGATAGCTACATATCAGGAGTCCAGTCTGCTTCCCAAAAGCCAGGACAAACCAGCTACCTGTCTGTGCCCCAAATAGTTGTCCAACCAGCACAAATCAGCTACCAGTCTGTGGCTGAGCCCAGTGTCCAACAACCAGCACATGTTAGCCTTTCTGTTGCAGCGTCTGCTCCCCAACCGGCACAACCCAGCTACCAGTGGGTGGCACAGCTAGGTCTCCAACAGCCAGCACATGTCAGCTTATCTGTAGCCCAACCAATCAGCCGGCAAGCAGGACAATCCACCTACGGGTATGTTGTCGAGCAGAGTGGGCAACCTGTTTTCAAACCAGTGCATTCTCATGGGGTTCACCAGATTGGCTCCAAGCTTTATTCATGCCAAGACTTGCCTCTGCACGGTTACCAGAGGAGATTTCAGTCTCCACCTAGAACAAGTCTTTCAGCCCCAACTCTGCACACCAAGCCTATTGTACAGTCCAGCGACCAGGCACCTGCAAAGCCTAACCATCCCAGACCACTCGCATCTACTCTACAATCCATTTTAATCCCAGCTCAAGCGTTATCTAGCCAGCAGTTTCTTTCTCGGCCCAGCTACACTCCCCAAGCTTTGCTAGTGGAACCCATGTACCAACCTCTGGCACAATCAAATTCAGAGACCATCTTCCTCGCTGAACACCAGATATCTCCTGTTCCAGGGCAGTTTGTTTCCCAGCCTCAAATGCTTCCTAGTAGTCAGTCTCTCACTGAGTCAAGCTCTTCTTCCTCAGGCATGCCAGTGCAGTCCAGCTACCAGCCTCTGGTCTCATCAAGTTATGAGACCGTCTTACAGCCTGGATTTCAGACCTCTTCAGTTTTTCAGTCGGTTCAACCTAAACTTTCAGTTCCACTACAGGTGGATTATCAATCTGTCACAGGTCAAAATGCTCCTGGACCTACTCAAAACAATCTGCACCCATCCCAGAAGTTGTTCAGGCTGTTGCAACAAGTAAAGTCCTAGATGCTTGTTTTCTGGTTATGTCTTATGTCAATAAAATATGATTTAAATATCTGTATGTTTGGACCTCAGATTTATAACTTTCATTTTTATTGTCCATTGCATCTGCTAATATAAATTTTACAAGATGAGCTTCTACCTTGTCAAACTTAATTTTCAAAGTGCTCCCGATAGTTGCTTTGATCGTTTCCATGCAGTGACATGTGTGCTGACAGGGATGGGCAGAAATGCATTAAGTTTATCCACAGAATCAGTTACCTCATTTTTACATGATCGACTTAAACTACAAAATACAGCAGGCACAACATGTATAAATTAAATGCTTTATTTTTGGAAAAATACTTTTTTTTAAATTTTTTTTTTTTAAGTATAACACTGCTTTGCAAACCTCCTCTCAATAGGCATATTTAATTGATCCCTTTAGTATGTTTGACGGCAACTGTTTCTGAGCAAGTTTAAATTCCCTTCTTTGCCACCTCATTCACCTCTACTTCTGTACATTTGAAGATGATCTCTTTAACCACAGTGAAAACCATGTAATGCAGATGAGTTGGATTTATAGTACTATATCTGATCTTGAAAATTGCCACCATCTCGTAACAGTTCTCTATTTAAAAAGGGTGAGAAGTTATTTAATTCACAATTTTTAATAGATCCCCCTTTTTTTTTTTTTTTTTTGCACTGTAGGACTTATGTTTATGTGTTTGTCTTATTTTCTTGGAATCTACATCAGTAATCCATCCAACACTACTGTATGTGCAGTTTACTTATTGTCCCAAGATTTAATCCGTTCTTTAACTTGAAGATTTCAAGTTTTATTGTGAAAAACTGGGATAGTCTGTCATTTGTGCACAATGAAGCAAGAGATGTCCGAGCTGCACATGGAAAGCAGGCTAGTGGAGTCATCGGCCATGAGGCCCATTTTCTTTACCATGTTTATATAGAGCCTGCGAGTAAACGGGTGGTTTCATCTTTGAACTTGGATGCTCTGGTAAGGGCACATCATGAAAATGTTACTTGCGTTGCTGACTTCAAGAGGTCCGCTAAAGGTCTACGTATTACTCATTTAAATGTAAGGAGTCTTCTTCCAAAGATTTCTGAGCTAAGACTGTGTTCGGATAAACGGTTGTCAGTACTTGGGTGCAGTGAAACTTGGTTGGACGGTTCAGTGTTGGACTCAGAAATTGAAATTACGTATTGTAGTTTGATAAGAAGAGACTGAAATCGTAACGGTGATGGCGTATGAGTTTATGTAAGATCTGATTTGTCTTTTAATGTTAGAAATTATATGAATAATGCATCCACTGAAGCTGTGTGGGTGGACGTTTAAGAGTAAACCTATTTTATTTGGAACCTTGTGTTAACCACTAAAGTAATTTTTATGAATTGTTGGAAGGATTTTTAAATGGTTTCGTGAAACCTCTCGGAATGGAAATTATAATATGTGCGGATTTAAACACTAAAATGTGAAATATGGACTTTTCTGTTGTATAAAGCTTTTAAACATTTTTTTAGATTTCTTTTTGATTAAAGCAAATTAAGGTACGAACTAGAATTACTCCCAAATCGCAGTCTATTGTTGATTTAATTCTGACATCTGATTCAGCTAAGATACGTTGTAGTGGTGTAACTCAGTGTAGTATAAGTGATCATTTTGAGTATATTTATGTAGAAAAGTGCGAAAGGCAAAGTTTATGGGCCATAATACTGTTTTAGTGAGGTCAATGAATAATTATAATCTTAATTTATTTTGTGATATATTAGATAAAGTTGATTGGTATGGGGATCTAAGGATGTGGATGCAGCTCGGGGTTGTTTTAGGGATCTGTTAAGTATGGCTTAGAATAAAATAGCACCACATAAGAAAATAAGAGTTAAACAAAGATTAGACTCGTGGATTACAGATGAAATATTACAACTGTTAAAGATAAGAGATAATAGTTTTGCAAAGTTTAGGAAGGGGTAGTGAGTGTAGCAGTTACGAGTTTTTATAAAATAAAGAGAAATGAGGTTAGGAATAGAATAAGAAAAGCAAAAAGGTTTTTTTATGAATAAGATAAAATGAAAATACATTTGAACCAAAAAAAAACAAAAAAAAAAAAAAACCGGGGGGTGTATTGAAAAATCTTGATTATTCAAATGCTATAAGTAAGAAATCATCTAAACCTAACTTAAAGGTGGAAGACAAATTAATAGTTCATCCAAAGAATATTGCCGAATCTTTTAATCAGCAATTTTTATTGTTAGCAAAAAAAATTAATAAATAAAAATATGTGGTCAGCTTCCAGGGCAACCAGCTATTTACAACAAAGATAGAGTGATTTCTTTTTATAGACAATGGGGCATTTTTCCGGATTCATTTCAGTTTGATTGGGTTACAGAAAGTGAAGTTTTAAAAATGATTAGTGAGTTAAAATTAAATAAGGCTCCTGGAATTGATGATATTACTGCAAGATTTTTAAAAGACTCTTTCACTTTGTTAAAGTGATTGCCCCCTTGGTATCACATATTTTAAATTTATCTATTGAACAAGGAACAATACGATGTGATTTTAAAAGTGCTAGAGTTATACCATTATATAAAAGGTTGTAAGTTAGATATGATTATTTACAGACCTGTTTCAATCTTGGGGGTGATGTCTAAAATTCTGGAAAAAATTGTACACAAACAGATAGTCAGCTATATTAATAAAAAAGCCTATTTTGTATGAGCTACAGTCAGGATTTAGAGCATTACATTCCACTGAGACTTATATATATTAATGGTCTAAAATAGCTTGTTCAGAGGAACTTTATATTTAAGCTAATGATGCTGCAATTTTAGTATTTCTTCAAGACATAAGGGCCCTGGAAGAAATCAAGAGTTCCCAGTTAAGAAGTGTGAACAACCGGTTTTTAGATAAACTTTCTTTACACATAGGTAAAACAGAGGCTATTTTATTTGCTTCAAGAGTGAAATCAAAGAAAGATGATAGTTTTGTAGTTAGGATTTATTATAGAAAAATTGGCAAGAAGTTAGGTTTATAGCAAGGTAAGCTGCTCTGTCGGATGTTCATTCTTTAAAATTATTGGCAGCAGCTTTGATTCAACCCCATTTTGATTATGCTACCTCATTTTGGTAAAGTAGCTGCTCACAGAATATGAAGGAAAAATTGCAAAAGGCAAAAAATAAATGAGTATGACTAGTTTTAAAAATTCACTCTAGAGCACATTTGCACAAAGATTTTTTTTAATGAATTAGTCATGTTAACTGTTAGTAAAAGTATGTTTTTTTTATTATTTAAATGTGGAGGTACTGTTTGTTTTATGCATCATCTGTATTTTGAAGCCATACTTTGTTTTATTTAACAGCGAGGACCGCAATGTACTTGTATTTTTGTACAGATTGTCTAAAATATGTCAAATAAAATTCAATTCAATTCAACTGGACGAGTCTCGGTTTACCCCCATAGTGAACACCAGTACACCATCTTTAGGTGTTTTATTATTCTAAAGTTCGTAAGAGACTGAGAATAATTATGTACTAAAGGCTCTTCATCCTGTTCTTAAGGACTGAAATTTTATTCCATCTAATTTCTTAAGCAAAGATGTTGATTCAGAATTGTACACTATATTGACATCACATGCTGTATAACTGGTCTAGGCATTGTGCAGTATTTTTAATAGTTGTTGACTTGCTCTTAAATTTACCATGGCATTTGTCAGTTATTTTCTTTATGTCTGCATAACTTCCATCCATACTCCAAGCATTACCCATTTTCATAATCAATTTTCTGTTCTGATCTCAAGCCTGGGCAAATAACAAAAAGCTTCAATCTGAGGCCGCATTTTTTGGTTATCATGTAGACTTCTTACAAGGCATTTTACAGTATTATATAAACCTTATTAAATACAAAATACAAAATACTATTTTGTATTTAAATACATATTTGAAACACTTGTTTTATAAATACTACCCATCTGTCACCGACTCAGTCCCAGTCATTCCCCTCGCTGTCCAGCAGAGGTTGTCATCCCCGGACTTCTAGCATTACATCATTCACTTAGACTGATTGTGCAGACACCTGAACTGAATCACAGTAATGACCCACGCCACCTATATAAGCCACACTCAAACCACTGTTCAGTGCGAAGTCTTGTTTAGCCCCGGCCAGCATTTCTGAGCGTTCTTTCCCGCCTGATCTCTTGTGCATAACCCCGGACTGTTTCTGACTCTGAGTTGCCTTCTGCCTGCCCACGACCCTTGCTTGATACACGGACTCTGAACCACGCTACCTGCCCTCGACCCACGCCTGTCTTAAGGATTCTGAACCACGCTGCCTGCCTCTGATCTATGCCTGGTAAATCACTCTGTGTCTGTCAGCCGCCAGCCCAACGACCTCTATTGATAACTGTTGATGTGAGATCGCACTTTAGTGCGTGTTGTAAGTTTGACTGACTAATAAATACTGCAAAATGGATCCCTCCGTGCCAGTCTCCCCGTTACACCATCCCTGCCTGCTGATATTATTATATTAAGAGACCAGCTCCCTAGCTAAATACCAGATATCTCCTGTTCCAGGGAATTTTGTTGCCCAGCCTCAAATGCTGCCCAGTAGTCAGTCTTTCATTCAGTCCAGCTCCTCTTCCTCAGGCATGCCAGTGCAGCCCAGCTACCAGTCTCTGGTTCTATCATATTATGAGACCGTCTTACAGCCTGGACTTAGACCTCTTCAGTGCTTGTGCCATCAAGTAACCAGTCTAAAATTTCCCAAGCATCGAGTGGTCTGGTAGTTTTAAGCCATGAGTCTGTTTCAGTCGGTTCAACCTGAACTTTCAATTCCACTACAGGTGGATTATCAGTCTGCAAATGCTCCTCAACCTTTTTAAAACGATCCATCCCAGAAGTTGTTCAGGCTGTTGCAACAAGTGAAGCATAGATTCTTGTTTTCTGGTTCATGTGTCCCATGTTTGCTTTCTGATGTCAATAAAATATAATTAAAATATTCATATGTGTGGACTTAA